CGTCGTTGCGAATAATCAACTGCATTTTAAAGCTAAAAAATACGCCCACACCTCTAATAATTGATTGTTGAAGGCCGATGAATTTGGCATAAATATATTTTTCCAGAGACGCCGACATGCTTTTCAGTTTCCGTTGGCTGTCATGGCGTATAAGTCATATTTTATCGCAATTCTACAAATTTAGTAAACGCTTCTTGGTGTCTTTAACTGTTTGCTTACTCATTTGAAAAAGTAGTTTGCCATAATTGCCAGCAATGAAATATCGCTTTAAGTGCTATTAAACATCTTTCCCGCCTTGTGTGCTGTCCATCTCTAAAATCTGTTTGTCTGTTTGCGCTTTGAAGTTTTTTGCGTCGCTTTGGCATTTGCTGCAATTTGTTTTTCATGTCCAACTATGTTGCCCCATGCTTGTCGCGTCCATGTCAATGACAGCTATTGCATTCCAACTACAAATGCGAATTTATGTGTACATACATACATACATACATATATATATAATATATATATACATATAAGTGCATATAGCATGGAGCTCAACGCATGCAGCCTTTTAGCATATATTTTACAGTTTACTATATTTTTGCTCTTTGTTTTGATTATCCTTCGCCAATATTTGCAAATACTTTTCTCCGCTCCCTTGGGGAGCAAAGCGTGTGAAACAGATAATTTATACTATATAATGTGTAAGGCCTCGGCAGCAGCACATGTTGCACGTAATTGTGCTGTGCGAGCGCCTCGTCACTTCCTGCTGAGCGCAATGAAAAGGGGAAAAGGCGCACAGTTAAGAGCGATAATACTTAAGAGAGACTTTTTATGCTCTTTTACATTATCTACCATTATTTGCGGTTACATTTGCACGCGTATAAACATACTTGTGTCGGCGTTTGACTGTAGGCAACGTTTAGGCTATACTCAGATAAAAGACTTATTCAAATTAAAATTCTTAATTTCAAATAAACTCAAGCACAAAGATACATAACTTTTAAACTTAAACAGAAAGAAAATTCACTTAAATATTTGTATATCGTCACCTGAAATGCAAAATAACGTAACAACATTTTCGGAAATGTCCAGTGGCAGGAATGAAACACGAAATAAAATTTCACATGAGTGAAACAAAATTTTAATATTGGTTAAAACTGATTTATATCTGACCGCAGGACCTGAAAATGTTGAACATATGTAATATTATGTATGTAATTTGAAGTAGTGAATCGTAATCAATAAGACACTCAATTTCGAATTGTTTGTTGATACGTTATTTTGCATTTCAGGTGACGGTATGTATATATATACCAAACCGTTAGAAAAATTTTTTTAATTCATTTTTAAGTTGCGTTTTGTTTTAAATTTTTGTATATTTAAATTGATTTTTTTTTTGAGAATTTTATTCATGTTCTTATTATGTAGATTTGTACTTTTTTATTTTGCTAAAATTTTTTTAAATTTCTTTTGAACCATTTCTACAATTTTGTTTTAATATTTTTGAGACTTTTATTTCAAAAATTCAGTTTGAAATTCTTATTTATTTTTTTAATTTGATCATTTATTTTTTGTTTACATTTCTTATTCGCTTTTTAATTTTTCTCAATCTTCTTAAAATTGTTTACAGTTTTGATATTTTTATATTAAAATTTTTGGAGATTTTTGTTGTTCCGTTTACTTAATAATCTATATATTAAATGGGCAAAATACAAAATTTAATTCAAAATGGTTACTTTTTCCTTTTACACAAGTCCTTAGGGTTTTAAAATTGTTTTTGAGTTATTTTTTCTAAACGACCAATATGTGCAGAATATTGTGTACAAATTTTGAGTCAGTTATAGTCAAACTAACGGAGTTAGAGCGTGTTAAACGACCGGCTGTGATATCTGACTTTGAAACTTTTTAAAGTTCAAATCGATTCTCCCGAAAACGTTATTTTTAAAGTTCGTGAATATTAGAGCTCAAAATCTACTGAAATGATCCTTTTGAAACAACAACAGGTAATCAGATGGAGTTTTTTTTTAATTTTTTTCTATTTTTTATTAACAAATTAATAGCGATTTTTTGAACTAAAATCGTGCTTTTTACTTCCTCTTCTTTTCTGATTACCTCGAGAAATACATCATCGGCAGCAATGACATCGAGTATATTGTTGTTAAGGGATTTTTTTTTTGCATTTTTATTCATTATTATTTTATGTTAATGTACAATATCTTAAGATTATTCTGTGAAAATTTGAGAGCAATTAAAGCAAAATTCACGGAGATATACACTTGTAAGTCTCCGCCCTCCGATTTGATTGTGAGCGGCTGTGACTCTTTAAACGTGTTTTTCTCACTTCACTTTTTCGAAGCCGGTGAACTCTGCAGCTCAAAATCTACTGAACCGATCCTTTTGAAATTTTGCACAGTCTTTCTTTACAAAAATTGTGAGGTGACGCTGTCGATTTTTTTTTATTTTATAATTTTAACTTTTTTTTAAACAACAACAATTGCTGAAAAATCTGTATTTTGAGTACTGAGCGTTGTAAAAAATTGAAAAAACATTAAAAAAGACTCGACAGCCTTACCTGTGGAAACTTATCAACTAGTCAAATCAATTTGATTTTTTAATTTCAGATAATCTAGTTATGAGTTATACGGTTAACCGCGAATCAATTTTTTTTTTTTTTGGAACATCTGCGAAGATTCTCAGTCGCCGGCTAATTTTCTTCTTTAAATATCATATAATTATGCTATAGTTATACAAATAAATTAATATTGATTGTATCTTTAAAAAAAAATTATTGAAAATATGTTTTTTTCTCTCGAATTAACCTTACTACCCCCTTAAGCCACTTCTGAGTGGTTGTTGGCCTGTTCGCTGAAGAGCCGCTTGCCAATTGCTCGACAATAGGTTTTAATGTGGAGATCATCTCAAATTTGAAACTAAAGTGCGTTGCATTAGAAATCAGGATGTTCAGTATATGAAAGTTGGGAAAGGATGTGGACTGAGCTCCTTTATATTTGAACCTAACTTATATGTTTTGGAGTAATTTGTTTTATAACTTTGTCAACTTTTATCAACCTTCTTAACCGATATATATAATAAAATTATTATGTGAAAAGTACGTTTTATTCAGTTCATGGACAGTGGTAAAAAAATAATTCTATTTAATGAAGTCTCTTTATACTTTTTTTTATCAAAAACTCGACCCAAATCGTTTCGCAAACATCGTAGTTCTGTCATTGTCACAAACTCAAAAAGCTAATAAATACTCCTCTTTGACACGATTGAGGAGATAAAAGCCGAATACAGAAAGTCTTAAAGGCTTTGCCGAAAAAGAAAAATTCGACCGTTTCGAGAACTGCTAAAGGTTGTCAAAGTCTGTTTCATCCGACGGCGATTACTTGAAGGGATGGACATTGATTTTGAAGATAAAATATAGAATTTACATTTACTATTACATACATACATGTGAGTACCTAGTAAATCCGACAAAGGAACAAAGAGTCTCATTTTGGAAACAATGGACAAAATATAGAATTTGCTAAAATTTAATTAAATATTGTATAGTGAAATAATCTGACGGTTGGAAACTACCTTAGAATGGCCTCAAAGGAATTTTATATAAAACATTATTTCTTGTGTAAATATATAATATCACGGCAATCTCGCCAATTATTTGCTGTTTAAACTATTTCAGAAAATAATTTAGGAGGTGTAAACCTTTCCAAGTTCTAAGGTAAGCCCATTTTTTTATGGAATTATAAAGAACTGAATTATGAAAAAACTATTATTCTTCCGACCGAAATTAAAAAAAAAAAAAATAAATAAAAAACTATTTAATTTTAATGTGATTTAATAATTTGTAACATGAAATTTGAAGTAAATAAAAGCCAGACCGCAAGCGCTTTGGAATAATGGAACGAACTGCGGAAAGCATTCTGCATATGGTTACTTATAGAGCACAGTAGACCACGAAGCGCAGTGCAAGCCTCAAAATTTTGTTTAATCCAATGGTTACTTAGAATATTACGAGGTTTTCTGGCAAATTGGCGATTGGCTTAAAAAAGTAGCCGGAGGGATAGGCGGACAATAAATAGTTTTGTTTTCGTGGTCTGGAAATATCTTTGACCTAAGTGTATCTGTTGGGTATTTCTTTAAGGACGACAAAATAAACATGGTGAATAATTACATATTTTGCGATTTATTTATAATTTCCGGGATCTTTTTTGTCTCAATATATTATGCCAATTTCACTAAGTTTATAACTCGAACCCGTGCGGAGACATCCACCCGAATTCGTGCTTGCCTGCTACGCCGGCTTTATTATCTCGTGGTCCTTATCCTCTGCGATTACGTTTAACATTAACGCGCCCTTTTATCAGGACTTCAGTGGCGCTCTCTATTAGCATTATTTGCGCATCTATATGTACTCAGTTAGTTCGTGCCATGCAGCTTCGCTTAACCTGTTGCAAATGGCCTTACAAATGCTTAACTTGCACACGTGGTCGAAGCCAAGGGCTGCTCTACGATGTTAGTATTTATATGTTTGCAAGTAGCTGGCTTACCAAGGATAAAGCTGACGGCTGACGGCGGACGACTGACTACTGACTACTTCGCGTAAAGTTGATATTTACCTTCGGAAGTCAAGGTGGCCGGCACAGCTGTTCTACGATATGTATTCGTACATTTAGCTGCCGGGTGGCCAAGCAGTCGAGACAACTAACTTCAGCTGCGCTCGTGTTTGCAGACATAATGTGGAAAGGTGGAGCCAGCAGCCACCACCGCTATATTGCTCCGCCACCTTCGCACATTTTTTACTGCTATATACACACATACTCGTGTTCAATGGAAAATGCGCGCCAAATGTAAGGCCGCTTCGTGCGCCCACGTAGCCAGCTACAACGTTCGTTTGTTCTGCTACTACTACAACAACGATTGCTGTATTTTAACTCTCTTATTTTCATTGTATTTGCGCTCTTTGTTATGAACTCTCCCCACAAATGTACGCTATATTTTTACATTCGCAGGCACTTGTTGTATTCGAAGCGAGATACACATCGCCCGACGATGCTGCTGGCAATTTTGAGCCGACCAATCTGGTGCGACCCATACAGGAGCAGCACAATATTAGCTGCAGCAGCCAAAGCTTGGACGATGATCAACAGATGCTTCTCGACATCGAGCAGAACATAGCTAATCTGGAGCGTAGTCTGAATCGAGGTAAAGTGAAAATTCGAATTTTCAGTGTTTAAATGTTGAAAATCGGTTGAAAATTCTGAGAAAACTGTGTCGTTTAACGGGATTAATTTTTTTTTTTAATTAAATACACACATCTTAAAACATTCGCGAATTAAAGGTGTTTTTTGCTTTAATTAGTTGCAAGTAGAAACGGTTTGAGCTAAAAAGAACGAAAACGGTGTAATAGTGTGGTTTTAAAGCATATAATTGTGTTAAGTGTAAAATTGCAATATTCGAATGCGCTAGAAAAATCAAGTACAACTAAACGTTAAGAGCCTTGAAGTTTTTAAAAGCAATATCTTCAATTAAAAATGTGTGTTTACAACGGTGAAATTAAACGTTTTTCTTTTTAAATATAAAATAATGATTTTAGACGCGATTTCCTTTTATTCAAAAAATATTTCACAACTCAAAATCTAATCAGAAATCAAAATTTATGTCAGAGTGTCAAATTTATATTTCTAAGAAAAAATTGTGTTACGTTGTGATAAAAAGCCAGGGATAGAAAATAACAGTTATTACATAATTTTGACTAAAACAATTTATTTGGAAGAAAGGGTCGTATACATATACATATATGAAGCAGAAATAGGGAGTTTTTGTTTTCAAGGACAACACAAATATGTCAAAAAAAATTTTATTTTTTATTTTTTTTCATAGCTCATAAGCGAAAAAACACATTTGAACCAAAAAAAAAAGTTTCGTGGAATAAGAAAATATAATGTTTTATGCTAGTGATACAAACACACATAAAATACATAAAGGCATGAAGGCATGGTTAATATACAAAAGTATTTGCGAAATTCGAAAGGGTTTCACGTGGCAACCTTTTTCAAGGCAACCGAAAACTTCGCAAATTTAAGTACCGTTTAATAAAGCAAGCTTCAGGCCATTTGCTAGCAATCATTCATGCTTCAGCTACACGGAAATGAATAATTGATGAATAAATATTGAAAAAAAAAGTTTCGTTGAAAACATTTCATTTCTTCAGCAGCGAAAGGTTTCATTCAACAGAAAACGCAAAATGGCATGTAAATCATCATTGCATATTAAATTATAAAAGTGGAACGCACAATTTTTCAGCTAATGGCCACACATTTTTACAACACAAAAACGATTTTTGCATATTTTAAAGAAAAAAGGATGCGCAAACAAAGTTAAGCAGCTGACTGTAGTAAGTTTCTAGTATTTCTACGAAAGCAGAGCGAGAAAACAAGAGTTTTTAAGTGTTTTGTGCAAAGTGTTTGACTTTAAGAGCCGCTTCACTTTCATGCTTGCTTTGTGTCCGGTGCAGTACACAACGAAGTTAGGATTAGTAGCAAAAGGAGGAAAAAAGTACTTAGTCCAGGAGCAAAATTATTTCTGATAATTTAAGATTCGACTAAAATAATAATTTCATCTAACGATATTTCGTAACAGTAAAACTTCGGAAACTGTAATAGGCTAGTTGGATCCACTAGAATAAAGGCATTTAGTTTCATCTTGTATCAAGCACTCTCTTTTCTATGATAGGCGCTACAAAGGCAGGAGCAGAGTAAGGGTATTATGTGACCACTAAATCTCCGGAACTGGATCATCTGAAATTAAGTAATGTTAAATCAAACACACCAAATTTTTTACAAAATGACGGAATCTCAAAACCTAAAATCGATTTTGGACAAAAATTTCGGTCATAAATTGTTTATAAAACACCTATACATATTTATCGGGGAAGAAAAATCTTCGATTAATTACTAGCAAATATATTTAAGAAGCTCGTGTTAAAATTTGTGACAATTTAGCTAACTAATTAAGTTAACAATGAAAAATTTTCATAAAATGAAATTGAGAGCTATTTTTTGAACTTGGAAGTATTAAGAAAATTTTAACCAAAATCTGGTATAAACTTTTGCAACCAACTGACTTATTTGCATTACACAAGTAGTCTAACCCACTAACGCAATCTTATTTACAAGCCATAAAGTTACAAAATACTCGACGAACCTAGAAATACCTCGTTTAAAAACTCCTTGAAATTTATTTCCCGTGATAACAATTTCTTGCGATAAAAATATATAATTTCTGATAACTTTAAAGCTTTAATGTAAAAAGTACGTTACAAATGAAGCTTGCGGTAGTCTAAAAACTTGAAACGGAAAGTAGTCCGCACATATTAAACCCCTCGAAGGGTATGTCCATGAGAATAGCTTACACAATTTCGACCCTAAAATAATATATTTCTATCTTAAATACTGCGAATAATTTCGAATTCGAAAGTTGTCAAGGTTGCATTTGAGTATTTATTAATTTTTGTATAATTATTTTTTGTAATGAAAAAATGTTCTCCGTAAACGTGTAAATATTGAAAGGGTATTTTTACAAATAAAAACCAGAACAGTGTATTCTACAATGAGTGAAATGAATTATTTTAATGCGAAAGAAATGCAAAGAAATAATAGTGAATACAACATGTAGAAAACCGTTAAAGAACGTATTAATTGGCTTAAACACACATTTTTACTCACAACTCTCAATTACAGATGTAATGAAACTAAGCTTTATGCAATATTAGTGCTAGTAAAATATTAGAAAATGTGAAAAAAAAAATAAACTAGAATCCCCATCCACTCAACATACATATGTTGACACAAACTGAATCAAAGCAACGTAGCAATGCCCCCTCCCACGTCCACGTCTCAGTATACCTCTCGCTTTCCCACAGAACCGGGCGGTCATGGCACAAGCGGCGCTAGAACCGCCTCCAGCGGCAGCGAATCGCACGGCACACAAAAGAAGCGGCATCTGCTGCGCCGCGTTATGACCGCCGCCCAACACAGCACCACAAGCGTCACCACCAACCGCCAAAGAATCGAACTGAAATTTGATAAATTCGGCAAATCACCTACAACGGGCCGCAGCGGCAGCATCACTACACTACTCACCACCACACCCAACTCGAATGCCCACACCAACACCGCCACAGACAGCAAAAGCGCTAGCGCACTGGCCGCCGCTATGCGCGCCTCCGAAAGTCCACCGAGCAAGGAGAAGAAACTCTCTATGCGCACCGTGCGGAACATCATGCGTCTGGGCCGCAGCAGACAGACGTCGCAGTCGCGTGACAGCAGCACCGAAGATGAGGGCAGGTAAGTGGTATTACACACCGCGGGCACATAACAACAATTTTATCTTCTTATTTACAACACGCACACCCACATTATGTCTATAGCTATGTTGATATGTACGAAGTACTTATGCGCTGCCGCAAGGCAGACAAATATGCCTTAACAACAGACCGCAAATTTGTAAGAAACGGAAGCACCCAAACATGCGCCCTCGGAAAAGATTTGTTTTGCATGTTTTTACTCTTGAATAGCATCCGGAGGTCTATAGCTCGCAAGGAAATAAGTTATAATCAGCAACAAGTGTCCACTTGTTGAGGCGTGCGGTAACCCACCTGCCTGCGGCGGCGCTCGTTTTAAGCCAAATGAAAATTGATGCTAAAAGTTGAGCACGCCGTGTATTTCATTTTAATGTTTGCAAAATATCCACTGACCACTTGTTGACACTTAACGCCCAAGTTTTTGATTGACCTCACTGGCCTTACGGTAGCTTTCACACACACACACACACATACACAGATACATAGCGCATGAAAGCTCAAATTGACGCATGTGACATTAGAAATTTACCAAGAACTCAAAAGGTCGGCAAGGAATCCTGGAAATATGCAGCGTTATGATCCCTCGTCATTACGATCAATTTTCCTCGCCATAGTCGCGTCTAAAACATTGGCTCTCCAGGGGCTGTCAAAACCTTGATTATGGAATGATTTTGTGGTGGCTTTCAGCTCTGGGCTACATCCAACAACCCACATATACTGTGTTGACCTTTAACGGCATGCTGGGTGTTGGAAAAATTTTACATTTTCATTTCATAATCCATGCTACTTGTGCGCTTTGAAGGGTGACTGCGTACACACGTCTATCTATATATGGTATGTAAGTGCCTATGAAGTTTCGAGTTGCACATTGTTCGCCTGCAGCTAATGTTTGTTTTAATGTGTGGAAAGGAAAAATTGTATATTTTCACATTTTGATACTTTTTGCGCAATATTGAAGCAATTATGGCAAATCAGAGATTAAAGAGAAAAGTTGGTGCTCATATATCAAGTTGTAAGCAGCTTCGTTGTACTTAAAATGTTTGTTTCATCCGTAGAAACCATTGTATTTGAAATGTTGACTGGCAGGCGGGTGTGTAGAATATTTTTAATTTTCATCTGGAAGCTTCTTCGACGGAATTTTTTTCCGCTTAACCAAAATCAATAAATACTTACTTATGATATATCCTGGCCTGCCCTTACAAGATTTAATTTTTTTGTCATTTTAGCAGTATGTGTTATTTTCGATAGCCAACTTGTGAAACAAAACTTAGTAGTATCGAAAAAATCAGTTATGCGAGTTACAGGTCAATTGACAAGTCCCCCGGTTGACCATAGTAAACAAACTTTTTGGTAAAAATCTTTTTTTTTTATATTCAACATAGTATCTTCCAAGGGTGAAATTCTGATTATTACGACCCTTCAACTTTTCGATACCATTTTGTAGTACGATTTGTCCTTTACTTCAGAATAGGCCTCAGTTTCGACGATGCCCTCTTTATTCGATGAAAATTTGTCTCAGCGAGCATTCTTCTGAGATCAGAAAACAATGGTGTAGATCTGGAGATAAGGTGGATGTGGAAGTGATTCGCAGCCCAATTTAACAACTCTTTCTTTTTCATCAAATGCGCCCACTTTTCGGCCATTCGGTCCTTTGAATGGTCCAGTAAGACTATGTAATAGTCGCTGTTGAGCATATTTTTTTTTTTTTAAAGTGGTCAATAAAAACTATTCCATGCCCATCCCAACATATAGACGCAATAACCTTGCTAGCCGACTGTTGCAATTGACCACGCTTTTTAGCGGACTCATCGTGTCCACTAGGATGATTGTCGATTGAACTTCGGAGTGAAATATTGGAGCCATGTTTCATCCATTGACTCATATCGACGTAAAAACTCGAGTTTATTACGCTTGAAACTCTCCAAACACTACTCCAAATCATCAACTCGTTGTCATTTTTGGTTAAAAGTACGCTCGCGCGGCATCCACTTCGCACAGAACTTTCTCATATCCAAATATTCTTGAATGACGTGATGTACACGTTCATTTGATATCTTTAGAGTGCCTGCTATCTTGAATAACTTCACTTTAAGGTCATTGAAAATTATTTTGTTTACTTTGATGTTTTCGTAGTTAACAATCCCTTGTGGGCGTTCACTGTGTTCACCCTCTTCGGTGCTTATTTCACCACATCTGAAGATAGCAAATCAGCACTTGATAGTTTTAGGTTTAACTTCATGTTTTCCCTTTAAAAGGAGATATTTTATCAACGCGTGGAATTCAAATTTATACATATTTTTGCATTATTTTCTCAAAAAGTTATGACTCCCAAAATAATGATCCCACAGCTGTTCATACTCGCCCCTTCTGAGTTTGATTAGGCTTAACCAAAAATCTTATTTAATTGTAGTAACCTGTTACAAATTCTCTTAAACGAGTTCAACTCGCTGACTTTATATTTCCTTTTACATGAAAGGTCGAAAAAGTTAGCGCGTAGGGAAAGAGCGAACTGAAAATATAGGAATTTAAAATCAAATGAAAAGTAAATTTTTGTATCGGTCAAAGTGTGGCCTACTCTAGAGTTGTAGCGCAATTTTGTAAGAAGTCTCTATTCACTATTTGAGATATTGTGAAGTAAAACCGCAATTTCGGACAAGTTAGTATTTAAAACACTGTCTCTGGTCTTTAATTACGAAATATTGTCTCAAATTTTTATTTGTTATAAGCAACTCAAACACGGAAATGTTTAAAATAAATAAAATTCACATAAATTTCGTAAATATTCTGAAACAAAGTCAATATATATTTTATTTTTATGACGATGTTATAGAAAATTTAGTACTTTTATTATCGACATGTTTATTCCATTCAAGTTTATATACATTACTACATAAGGAAATGCAATAGGACCTGTTCGTTTTCAATTGAGAGATTTTTGTGACTGTGAGGTACTGAATTGCAAAATCGTCTCAAGTCACAAAAATTAAATTCAAAATCTCAAATTTAGAAGCTTGTGACTGTTTCACAGTACAGAATTCCGATTAGTCTTTGATAATTGAGAAAGTAACATTTGGTTATGGTTAAATATTTTAATATCTATGCGATCTTTTGCGATTACACCATGTAGTCAGAGTGTTTAAAATTATCTGAAATATTTGCTGTACTATACATTTTACATCAAAGAGTTGAACTATTTTCAGTTTTGTAATATAAACTTAATTATATAACTAAAAGGATTTGTTCTGAATTGAGTCAAGAAAGCACAAATAATTGTAATACAAAATTAACTTAAAATATAATTGTTAAAATGTATTGCTATCATTTCGCAGTTCATTGTGCACTTATTGGCTTTAGAAATTGAGCTTAATTTGATTTAATTTATGATTGATATATATAGTTAGAGCAACGCTTATGTGAAACTGGCGCAAAATATATAAAAGTATTGCTGAGATGATGCTGGAGTTTCAAAATGTTTAGATGAATGCCTACTCAACTAATCGGACAAATCGCCGATAAAAAGAAAAAACCCAAATACGAAAATAATTTGGAAAGCAACAATGAAGGAAGTGTTAAATTCAGCTGTAATGGAACACTTTATCCTCTCACAATTTGAAAAAGTCGAGAAAAAACTTTCAGCTGCAAAGTGTTGCAACACTTTATATTAAAATATTGCGAAAGAATGCAACATTCATTGTTCGACGAAATTATGAATGGATTACAACCAAATGTGGTATCTTACGAACTCTTGTAATGTATGGGGTCTCTGAGGAAAACATCAATGGAGTGGGAAATCACAATTTCATTTTCATAAATGAAAATAATTATATACATATTGTATATGGGAGTTGGGATAATATGTGAATCGATAACACACATTTACAACATTAAACTACTAGATATTGGTCTTCATATGTGGCATAAAGCCAACCGGAAGAATGAAAATCTTACAAAATTCTTATTAATTTTCCCATACAAGTGGAGGGAGATAGTTTAGTTTAAATGGATGCCCTTTAATTTTTATTAAGAAACATCAAAGAGTGAATAATATATGATGTATTTTGTGAAAGTCCGTGTTTAGTATATGGGGACCAGAGGAAGTATTGCCCTAATTTCTTCGATTTCTTTCATATGTATAATATGTGGTATAAAATCAACCGGAAGTTCCAAAAACTATTTATAAGAATTTACCCAATTTTACTCATTTTTGGCACAAGGGTAAGCTGTCATCACAAAAATATTCTCTCTGAATATCAATATTAAGTAGACCAGTAAAAAATTAGCCATGTAATTGGCGTCCACACATTTAGTGTCCGATTCCTTGAAATGTTATAGTCCGATTTCGATCATTTTATTAATATACGAATTTCCTAAATGATAGAAAAATTACAATTCTTAAAATATTTACACAAAATTATAAAACATTTACATCTTACAATATTTTCAACGAAACGCTACAACTACTTCTTGAAATCGGGATGAAAGAGGGTTCGAATACAAATAAAATTGAAAGTTGTCTATCTATAACAACAAAACTACCACATAAAAATGCAAGGTGCTTTCCAAAGTAAACAGAATCAGCCGAAATCAGCATTGAAATTCATGGAAATGGAATTGACCATCTCCAAAACATCGATTTATCGCATTTTGATCGAACATTTGGACTTACGAAAGGTGTGCCCACAGTTTGTTCTGCACAAATTGACTGACGACTAAAAGTTGCTCAGAATCCAACATTCGAAGGACGATTATTTGACCAGATCAGATTTTAAACATTAACCACTCCCCGTATTCACCTGATATGACAACGTGCGACTTTTTCCTTTTAGGAAAATGCACTTGCCTATGAAAGGAGAGCGTTATGCAGACGTAGAGCCACTCAAAAGGCTTGCATCGTTCGACATGCTTTTGGACCATGCAAAAAGCTGTATTGAAGCAGAAGGAGACTATTTTGAATAAAATAAATTGATTTTTCMAAAAAAAAAA